CCAGCCCCTCTTAGGCTTATTTTTTAAGTGCAAGCGGAATGTCTTACCCAATACTCTTTTTTTCCTTTTCTTTCTTTCTTTTTCTTTTCTTTTTTGTTTTTGTCTTTTGAAATAGGATTTCACTATTCAGTTCAGGCTGGCCTTGAGCTTACTTTGTAGCCCAGACTGGTCTCGAACTCACAGTGATACTCCTGCCTCAGCCTCCTGAGTCCTGGGAATACAGGTGTGTGCCACCATGCCCAGCTACCCCAGCACTTTTGAATTTTCTATTTCTTTTCTTCTGAGTAACTTGTAATACTTCTTTTCATTTACATTTTATGACTTCAATTGATGAATACCTAAGAGTCTTTCTAGTGTTATAATTCCTTTCCTATGGTAGTAAACTTTTATTTCATGAAATTTCAAACTCTTTTTCCCGATAGTGGTATTTAGTTTTGGGAAAATCCCTTTTATTTTATTGAGTGATTTTAGTTGTGCTTCTTTAACAAATATGAACAGTTTTTTAAAATATGTTCAGTACAGTGTCTACAGGATCTCACTACACAGATTGGACTCATAGTGATCTTCCTGTTTTCAGACTCCCAAGCACTGGGATTACAGGCCCATGCCACCATGCCTGGCCCTGATGTTTTCAATATCTGTGTACATTATAAAAGCAATGCTTATAGGAGGCTGGCCAGATAGCTTAGTGGACTAAAAGTGCTTGCTGAGGCAGAAGGCAGTGGCTGGGGTTCGATCCCTGGCGTGCCATGCTGGCCCAGCCCCCAGGGCATGCTTACAAAAATCTGTTTTGTTATTTTTTTCTTGTTTCTATAGAATAATAGTATTCAACCTATCAAACTTCTGATCCAGCACCAGCAAGAAGTGATTATTTATTTTCCCATCAAGCTTACACCTGACTTCCTGGCATTTCCCCATCATCCTCTAGGAGTGCTGCCTCACTATCAAGTACAGGTAGGGTATCCTAGAAGAATTCACAGACAGCAGTCACTTTCTCTGGTAGGTCAATTTATTGGAATTTGGTTAATGTTAAATTTTATTTTCTCCAGTCTTTTTTTGGGGGGGTGAGGGGGTGAGACAGGATCTCACTGTTCAGGATGGCCTCGAGCTCGTGGTGATCTTCCTGCCCCAGCCTTTTGAGTGCTGGGATTATCAATGTGAGCCACAGCGTGGCCTTTCCCCTGATGCCCAGTCTTTGTCTTGTCTTGTCTTGTCTTGTCTTGTCTTGTCTTTTTTTTGGTAGGATCTCATTGCACAGTTCAGCCTGGCCTTGAACTCACTGTGCAGCCCAGGCTGGCCTCAAACTTGTGGCAATCCTCCTGGCTCAGCCTCCCCAGTCCTGGGATTATATGTGTGCGCCATCATACCCAGCTCAACACCCAGTCTTAATAGTATAATTCAGTCTTTGGTTATCACCAAATCATGTTCTTAAATGCTATCATCTATAACATCTGTCTGTTTTCCATGTATCCTTTCCTTGTGAGTTTTATAAGGTTTTGTTTAGTAACCTTTTATCACCCCCGCTTTTTTTTCTTTTCTGGTAATACTGGAAATCAAATCCTTTTTATTTTAAGATGGTGTCTCACTAAATTCTCCAGAGGGAGCTCAGACTTTCAACTTATGGCAATCCTCCTGCCTCAGCCTCCTGATTGCTGAAGTTATAGGCATGCACTATCCCACCCAGCTGCTCAGCAGTTTCTCAATGTGTACAGAAATAACGAGTGGTGTAGTTTTATTCTTAAACTTTATTTTTCACCTAAATTCCATTTTTTCTCCTGTAGTCATTGATATAGGGTTATGCTTCTCCTAGGTAGAGGGTGGTAGTGGCAACTTCACCTGGAGCTCTTCTAATGAAACAGTGGCCATGGTAACCACCAAAGGTGTAGTAACTGCTGGTCGAGTCCAGGGCAACAGCTCAGTGTGGGCCCGAGACGTACAAAATCCCTGTCGATATGGGGAGATGAAGGTAAATTGTTCTCCAAAAAAATCTCTTTACCTCGGAGTCATTGCTAAGTTTCTAAGTGTTTAAAGCCAAGCACATAACCATGTGTGAAAATATATCTGGTCCAATTTTACTACGTAAAAATGTTCAAATTCAGTCTGGAAATATGTATTACTTAAATATTTCTGAGCCTGGGTTGAATTCTGCTTCACTTTATAATCATTTACTGAGCAGGGTATGGTGGGTCACGTGTGCAGTCACGGTACTCGATAGGCTGAGACAGGAGGATTGCTGTGAGTGCAAGGCCAGCCTGAACTACACAGTGGAAGAAACAAAAAACAATAATAACAACAGAAACACTACTTAACATCTGTATCTATTTTCTCCTCTC